CCGCCGCGCCACGCGATCGTGCTTCCGCCCAGCGCCGACCCGCCTGCCGGGGCAGTGTCGAGGCGAGGCAGCGGCGAGCTGTCGGACCTGCGTCGCGCCCTCTTCCTCACGCGCGACACCAGCCCGCTCTTTGACACGAGGCGGTGGGTGCGCGACCTGGAGAGGGGCTACGAGGAGGCGTGGAGGAGGTGGGTGGCGGGCACCGACGTCGAAGACTCGGCAGAGTGGGAGGCGCTCCCCGACGACGCGCCCGAGAAGCGGAGCGGGCACATCTGGATCTCGCAGCTCTGAGGGCCCGAGCTGCCGGCTGCGCGAGGCGAGCCGTCGGAGCCACAGGGACTGTGGTGAGCCGAGAGGGCGATGCGGCGCCCGTCTCGTCGGTCCGTCCGTCCCGTCTGTTCGTCAGTCTATTCTTCCGACCGTCCTTCGTATCCCTGCATCAGCATTCGCAACATCACTCTACATCGCCAGTAGTCTATCTGCATAGTCCGCATCGCTCACCGAGCACGCATGTACCTCCCCTCGACCATTGCACGGACGAGCATGTGGGCGGGCGCACATGCCCGCCCTCGTCCTCTACATGTCTCTTCCTTCTTCCCTCGCGCGCGCGCGCGCGCAGCTAGAGACGAAGCGCGGCGCACTAGAGGTCCTCGTCGTCGGACCCCATGAGCTCTGCCAACTCCCTCTCTTCCTCTTCTGTCATCTCGACGACAGCGGGTCCTTGCCCCGACCCTCTTCCGCCCTTCGCTCCCTTTCTCGTCGCACCAGCAGTGGCGCTGTGGGCAGCGGAAGACGAGGACGGCACCTGCCTGATAGTCTTGTCCCCGTTCGCCGTCGTCGTCGAGGTCATCGAGGTCGAGGTCGCGGTTGAGGTGTCGCTTTGCAGAGGGGAAGGACGAGGGGGAGGGTGGAGGAGGTCCTCGACTCGCCACCTCCGAATTGACCCGTCGAGTCCCGACGAAACGACGTACCATTCCGCCGCACCGCGCGGCCCAACATCGGCAGAGGCAGAAGTAGCTACCTGCCCCGCAGCGGTAGCGGGTGGGATCGGCTCGTTGTCGCTGCTCGTCGTCGGGCCCTGCAACGGTCCGGACCGGGGACGCAGCCACACGTCGATGGCGTCTATTTCGTGCCAGTGTCCCTCGACGGCCGCGATTGGCACCGTCGGTTTGGCCGTGCTCGACGTCGATGGGGCGATACCGGCCGCGGCATCAGGTGCAGCGGTCGCATCGGTGTCGAGAGCGAAGAGGCGCAGCGTTTCGTCCGCACTGCCCGTCGCCAGCACGTTGGGCGGCGGCGAGACCCGCAGCGCAAGGTCCGCGGCGCTGCCCACATCGGCGCGGCGGCGCGCAGCGGCATGGCCGAGGGACACGAGCGACTTTACAAAGTCGGCATGCTGGATCGTCCTGCTCGGTCCCAGGGGCGGCTGCGACCCGAGCGGCGCACCCGCCTTCGAGGTACGGCTACCCGGCACCTGCCCGCGTCCACTCTGCCGCAGAACCGTCGGGGAGAGGACAAAGCACCTGGCCGTCTTGTCGCCCGAACACGTCCACACCTCGGCCACGTGCCGGCGGAAACTGCCGTCCGGCGCCTCGTAGATGGGCGTGACGAATTCGTCGTCGCCCTCGCCCTCGCCCGGCTGCGAGGATGAGGCTGCGGCGGCGCTGGGCAGGCTATCGAGCCCCTCGACCTCTTCGTCGCGCCAGCCGGCACGCAGGTCGTAGATGGCCGTCTCGTGCGCCCGCAGCTCGCGACGGATCGTGAGCGAACCCCGCGATGCCGCCGAAGCCGTCGCCGTCGCCGAGGCGTTGTCGAGGGAGGCGGGCAGGTTGAGCACCATTTCAAAGATGCGGCCCATCGAGTCGGCAGAGAAGAGCGTGGTCTGACCACCCTCGGCGTCGGCGTCGGCTTCGGCGCTGGCATCGAGACGGGGCGGGGGCGGGACGGAGCCGAGGCAATTGATGGGCCTGGTGTGTTCGCGCAACATGGCCACCACCTCGATGTCGGGCATGGTCGCCCGCTCGCCCTCCGAGGTCCCGGTCGTGCAGATCCGCGTCCAGTCCGCTTCGCTCAGTGCGCCGGTCCATTCGAGGAGCGGCGTGAGGTGCCAGCACCGCACCGTCTTGTCGCTGCCCGCCGAGAGGACAAAGTCGCGGCCCTGGGAGCGGAAGCAGTGGACCGCCTTGATAAAGTCGGTCGCGGCTTGCGGCTGCGTGAGGATGGGCTTGGGCCGGAGGGGTGTAGCTGCGCTTTCCACCGTCGTACCGTGTGATGGGATTGACCAGACCTTGATGCTCTTGTCCCACGATCCCGTCACGAGCACTTCCCTCGTCGACTCCCGTCCGCCCCCTGTCGATCCGCCGACGCGCACAATGTCAAAGGTGGGTACCGGTGCTGAGTGACCGCGGAAGATAACCGCCGTCTTGCCGGTCTCGAGGTCGGTGAGCCTGACCACTCCGCCGCTCTCGGCGGTCCAAGCCTGGCTCTGCGGCAGAGGCCCCTGCCTCGCACCGGGGGCGGCAGTGGACGCGGCCACGGTGCGGCAGCGGAGCGAGAGGACGCGCGCAGACCCGGCATCGGCGCCCGCACCGCTCTCTGCGAGGCCGATCGAGTCCTTGTACCTGCTCCCGAGCCAGATCGGGTGGCCGTACTCGGATCCCGTGGCGGTGCGCGACGCCTTGGATGCGCGCGCCGCGCCCTGGGCGAGGGCCTCGTCGGTCTGGAAGAGGGTCGATGCGTCCGTCGCCTGCATGGCCAGAGGTGCACCGGGTTCGAAGGATGGAGAAGAGGTAGGGGAGGGCAGAAGACACGGGTCGACCCGGCACGTAAGCAGCGTAGAGAATTGGTCAAGAGCGGGGTCGGTGGTGTCGTTGCCGGCGTTGGTGAAGCTGGAAGAGGAAGGAAAGGGTCTGCAAGCCCAGTCAGGCAGGTGTTGGTCAAAGTCCGGGCGCACGCACGCACGGGGCGCCGCCTCTTTGCTCTGACCGGCTTCGCGCAGTCGTTGGACTTCTTCCAATTTCCCTTCCTCCCGGCTTCCGGGCCTCGGCACTTTCTGCACGCCACGTCAAAATGGCCAGGCCCAGCACGCGGCTCGTCTCGTCCATCGCGACGTCCCGTCACCCAGCTACTCGCCCTGCCACACAGACAGACCACACGTCGGAGGCGACGATACGGTAAACGAGCTTTTTTCGGGAGGGGGATGTTTCTACAATGCGGCGTCGGGCACGTCGACGCTGCTCCGATCCGCCGCCGCCGAGGGGCGAAGGGGGAGGCTGCGTGTCAAAAAAAAAGAGCGTTACAGGGGAGCAGGCGGTCCGGGCGGGGGGACAACAAGAGGGGTGGGCAGCAAGACGTCCATCGTCATGCGGGGCATGCGATGCATCCGGAAGCCGGTCGGGAGCTGGACCCCGTGCGTTGGCCCAGAGAGCCGCTTTACTTCTTGAGCAGGGCCTCGAGGGCGTTCATCGACATCGACTTCGGCCTCTCGATGGGCATGCCGAGGTATCGGTCGGCCACCAGCTGGGGCAGGGCACCAATGGCACGCGAGATGCCGAAGATGACCGTGTAGTAGGTGAACTCCTTGAGGCCGTACTGGTACAGGACGCAGCCCGAGGCGGCGTCGACGTTGGGGAAGGGGTTCTTGGTCTTGCCGTGCTCGGTGAGGACGCCGGGGGCGATCTGCGAGACCTTCTGGACCAGCTGGACGATGCTGCTGTCGCGCAGCTCGGGGCGGGTGTCGCAGAACTTGGAGAGGGCAGTGAAGCGCGGGTCGGGCTGGCGCAGGACGGCGTGGCCGTAGCCGGGCACGACGCGGCCGCTCTTGAGCGTCTTCCAGAGGTACTCCTTGATCTGCTCGTCGCTGGCGTTCTCGCCGACGGCCTCCTGCATGCTGAGCGCCCAGCCGAGCACCTCCTGGTTGGCCAGGCCGTGCAGCGGGCCGGCCAGACCCAGAAGGGCGGCCGAGTAGGAGAGGTAGGGGTCCGAGAGGGCGCTGCCGACCAGGTGGGCAGTGTGGGCCGAGACGTTGCCGCCCTCGTGGTCGCCGTGGATGGCAATGTAGAGGCGGAGGTAGTCGGTCATACCCTCGTTGTCGCCGTAGCCAATCATCTTCGAGTAGTTGCCAATCAGGTCGAGGCCAGAGTCGATGGCCTGGTTGCCATCGCCGCGTCCAAAGACGTTGTAGTAGATGCGGGCAGCGATGGCGGGCAGCTTGGCGATCAGGTCAATCGAGTCGTCGAGGGTGGGCTGCCAGTACTCGGTCTTCTTGATGCCCTTGGAGTAGGCAGCGGCGAACTTGCTGTCGTGGTTGAGCGAAGCGACGGCGTTGGCGAACTGGGTCATGGGGTCTGCGCAGGCGGGCGGCCAGGGGCGGGTGGAGGAAGGGAGGATTTCGCGATCAGCGATTGCTGCTGAGCCCGTTTCGGCACGACCCGTGCAAGGCTACTTACGGAGCGTCTTGGGGAAGCTGTCAATGATCTTCTCAAGGTACGAGGGGAGCTTGCCCTTGGCGGCCAGCTCCTGCGAGAGGCCCTTGACCTCCTCGGCAGTGGGGACCTTGCCGGTCAGGAGGAGCCAGAGCATCGACTCGGGGACTGCGGGCGGGCAAGGAAATGGCGCTGTTGCGTCAGTTTCGGCCGTTCAAGGAAGCTGCGATGCGTCGAACTAGGCGTAGGGCAGGTGACCCGTCCACTCTCGCCGAGGAAGACACGATCTTCGGTCCTCTTCCCAAGAGTTCTTCGCTGGGTCGCTCAAGCGACGCTGCGACGACGGCTAGGCGCGATTCTCTTTTCATCGCAGAATCCACTCGGCCTTTGCCGTCGGCGCCTTCGATGCGCCAAAACGAGCAGGATGAGACGGAAGGGACGGGGCCACTCACGGATCTCGGAGCCCTTGACGCCGATGTCGTTGCCGGTGGGGAGGACCTTCTGCGAGTCGGGGATCGACTTGCCGTGGAAGGTGATTCCGGTCTCGGAGTCGAGGACGGAGCCCTCCCAGAGCATGACCTTGAGGCCGCGCATGCCGCCGAGGAGGTTGCTGACCTTGATCTCGCCGAGCGAGGCATCGGCGTAGTCGGCCTTGAGCTTCTTGAGCTGCTCCTGCTTCTCGGGGACAATCTCGGCGACGGCGTCCTTGAGCGACTTGGTGCTGGCGAAGCGGACCGAGCTGGCGCCGGCAGCGGCGGCGAGCTGGCGCGACGGGGCAGCGGCGCGGAGCGCGACACGGGGGATCGAGAGGGAGAGCATGTCGATGGAGTGACGGTGCGTCTAGGGAGAGGGATGGGATGGCTGGGTGGTGGTGGTGGAGAAGGACCGGGGAAAGAAGGGCGGGGCGAAGGGAGCGAGCGACAGAGGAGGCGAGGTTGAAAAGGCGGCCGGCAGGACGGGCAGGACGGGCAGGCCAGGGCGAGGGCGAGGGCGAGGAGGCCCAAGCCAGGCAGGCCCAGGCCAAGCCGAGAAGAACGGGCGGCGGCGCGCGGCGGGCGGCAGGCGGCAGGCGGTTGGCCAGAGGGAGGCAGAGAAGCCGCCGCCAAAAAAGATCCACCGACCGCGCCCGACCGACCCGCCCGTCCGACGAGCGACCAACCAACTAACTCAACCAACCCGGCCGGACGCCCGGTCGTTTTTGGGGCGAGAACCGATGTGGCCGATCTGGCCAGCCAGCCAGCCAGCCGCGCCCAGCTGCTCATCTGTGCCGTCCGTCATGATCCTCCCTATCCTGACCGCGCCGACGGCCAGCCCAGGCAGGCAGGCAGGCGGGCATGTCAAATCCGCCAAGACGACACCAACTTGGAGCCGACCAGGGCCTCACCTACCTGTGCGAGTGGGCACGAGGGGAGCATGTCCATCTCTCGACGGGCGGGAGCGGGGCAAAGCCAACGGGGGCTCCGGGCGACGAGAACAAGCAAGGCACGAAGCGATAGGTAGGGTCCGGGCGGGGGGGCAGCGACGGGCGAGTTGATCGATCTACGTGGCCAGGCCAGAGCCAAAGGTGACGAAGCAGGCCCACGCCGTAGCTTCCGGTCCACGGGGGGCCGCTGAAAAACGCCCGCACGCCCGCCTGTGTGTGGCAGGTGGAGAGAGGCGCAGCTGCGATGGTGACGACAGAGGGGCAGCTCGAAGTTCAAGCGGACAAGGAGGGTCGACGAGCAGCCGGCGGCGGACCCGCGAGTTTGGGGGCGCCTCGCCCAGCCCAATCGATCGATCCGCCCGCCCGCCCGCCCTCCCCGCCTTCTCCCGGGCGTGAAAAGAAAAGGATCCTGGGCAACGCCTTCCACGCCTCCCCCAACCCGGCCGGCGCCTTTTCCTCGGACGGTCTCTGCTGCGCTGGTCAAGGCCGGCAAGGAGCAGCCCGCAACACGACGGCAAGCAGGCGAGGCCAGGCCAGGCCAGCCAGGCGAGAGAAGACGCACCTCATGAACATGCTCTTCTAGCGGTATCTGCTCGCCGCGGATGGCCACCCTGCACGACCGGACGAGATCAACAGCAGGCGCTGGCCACCTGCTCCGAGAGGCGAGGATGCGGTAGCGACGGCGGGATCCGCGCGGGCCGAGCCGGAGAGATGTTGCCGAAAGCGCCGTGGGTGAGCTGGCGGCCGGACGCCAGCATCTGAAATCCGCCAACGACCGCCGCCGGAGCAGTTGCATGCCGTCGGAGCCGACCGCATCTCGGATTGAAAGCCACGAGGCAGGACGGCCCGGTGCTGGCCAGCCCCGACAGCCTGGTCCACGCTCGGTCAGCGTTTGTCATGCCTTCCAGCTCCTGGACCGTGCCACGGTGGAACCCCTGTTGACCACCACCACCATCACCACCAGCCCACCACCCCACATCGTTCGGCTTGGCGTGCCAGCGCGGCGTCGACGCCTTCCTCTAATCACCACGCCCTCTGTACTGGCTGCTGCCGCTGGTTCGTCTCGCGACTTCGACAACTTTGACCTGGACTCGCTCCTAAGACTGCCCGCCCCCTGACGAAGTCCAACATGAACCGACGAGCTGGTGCCGTCGACCGGCACGCGCTGCTCTCCTCGGGCGCTTACCCATCGTCCTCGCGCGCTGCTGGCCTCGGGGCATACCGCACCGCCTCGCCATTCGAACAGCCCTACGGCGCTCCGCCGCAGCCGACGTCGTCGCACCAGCATCCCTTCCAGGCGCCGGCGGGCTCGACGCCCAACTACGAAACCAGCGATCCCTACGCAGAGTACGGCAACCACGTCGGAGCGCCCAAAAAGGAGCCGCCAAACACGACCGGAGCCAATGGCGGCCTGCTCGGACGCATGGCCGCCTACGCATCCCAGAGGACCGCCGAGGACCTCGAGGAGCAAAACGACCAGAGGCTCGAGGGCCTCAGCGCCAGGGTCAAGATGTTGAAGGACGTGAGTTGCGCCGGACGGTCAAGGCGAACCTCGAGCATGCTCGCCAGTACACGAGGAAGACGGCTGATGATCATGCCTTGTCGCTACCTCGGCCCTCTCTGCAGATCACGACGGGCATCGGCAACGAAGTGCGCGAGGGCACAAAGGACATGGGAGCATTGGTGAGTCGTCGGTTGTCGGGAGCCTCCCGCGCACCTTCACACCAGCGTGTTGACACGGTAGTCTGACGAGCCCTGATTGTCCTCTCGATACGATTCTGCAGGGCGAGGCCTTTTCAAACACGTCGGCCTTCCTCGGCGGCACCATGTCCAGGATGAACCGCATGGCGCAACGGCAAAGCGGCTGGTTCTGCAACATGATGCTCTTCCTCTTGTTCTGCACCTGGATCTTTGTGAGTGGGCCCGACAAGGCTGAGGCTCGGTCGAAGTAGGGTCGGCTGTCGTGACACCTCGGGCTGACGCGCATCATCTCCCGGCTTGCTCGGCGGTCTCTGGCGTTCAGGTCTTCTTGTGGTGGTGGCGTCGATGAACGGTCACCTCTTTCTCTCTTCCTCGCTGCTACTACCACGAACACGACGTCGGCCACAACGACGACGGCAACGACGAAGAGTGTGTCATAACCCGCACTACGCGACGCCTCATGCACTTGCACTTGTACTTGTACCGAACCACGACATCCAGCAATAGACCCACGATCTGCCTCGCTCAAGTGTCAAAGGACACGCTCGGAGTCGGCACGCTCCGGCTCCAAGAGCAGACAGACGAGGCAGGCAAGTGGAGGGCAGGCTTGGAAGACAAGAGCGGGAGGGGGCGAGCCTTTATTCCAGGCGCAGCATGGAAGTGGATGGACCCGCACAGGACCAGGACCGGAAGGTGAGAGACGAGATGACACAAAGATGAGGGAAAGGGGAAGCGGGGAGCCGAGAAACGCAAACGCAGACCAAGCAGAACCTTCCTAAGGGTGCGTCGGTCGGATTGGCGTCGTCGTCACTGCCCTGCTCTCTCGCGGACGAGAGAGAGTAGGAAGATGATGACGACGACGACGAGCGCGACGTACGACGACGAGTGGAAGCGAAAGAGGGGAGTGAAGGGCGGGGGATGGGGATGGGGACGGATGGTCATTCGGATCAACCAAAGACCGATGGATGCAGGTTCCAGGAAGGCCGGTGAAGCGACGATACGGGAATCGAGGAGTTGTCGAGGGTCGATGACCGACGGTGTCGAAGGCGCGCGCGAGGCGGGCCGGCCGCTCAGTTGTTGAGGGCCTGGAGCAGCTTGGGACCGAAGAGGGCAATGTCCCAGGGGTTGGGCTTGTACGTCTTGTACATCTGCAGGTTCTCGACGACGCCCTCGTTGAGCGTGCCCGACGGCGCCAGCTTCTTGAACGCGCTCTTGGTCAGGTCGACGTGGCCCTTTTTGCAGCCGGCGCACTTGTCAATCACGCGGACTGGCGCGGGTTGGAGGAAAGGTGATGAAGCGGTACGAAAGGGGGAGAGAGGGGGGTCAATGTCAGGCCGACGCCGGAGAGAGGCTGTGACGGCGACGACGACGACGACGACGACGACGAAGACGACGATGACCAGGGCACTCACCCTTGACACACTTGTTGTCGGCCTTCTTGTTGCACAGCTTGACAAAGTCGCCGCACTGAGGTCCGTTGTCCCAGCCCTTGACGACGGCGCCGATGTGGCTCTGCAAGGATGATGGCGGCGGCAGGAGAGGTCGATGATCGCGAGGGGGCGAGGGGTCAGCGTCAAAGGCAGCTCGGGGAGGGCAGGGGAAGGCGACGCGTCGTGCACGACGGCCAACCTCGTTGATCACCGCCTCGACCGCCGTGCACCACATCAACTACCAGCTGGAACCCCACTCACCGAGTTCTCGGGCTGCCACTTTCCGCCGCCGTTGCCGCACTGCGGGTTCTTGAGGTCGTTGGAGGCGTACCAGGTGATCTTGACGGCGTCGTCCCACAGCTGGTCGGAGTCGTCGGTGCCGATGGTAAAGTGCTGCTTGCCCTTGGTCTTGCGCGAGTGCTTGTGGTGGTGCTTGCCGCGGCGCATCAGGTCGCGCCGGGCCAGCTCCTCCTCGCTGTAGTCGTCGTCGTCTTCGTCGCCAAAGACCGAGTTGATGTATTGCATCACGTTGCCCGCCTCGTCGACGTCGGCCGCCTCAAGCGCCTGGGCGGCGTCGCTGCTGGCCAGCACGCCGCTGGCGCCGGCCATGGCGATCGTGGCGAGAAGGGCGAGGAGGGAAAGGCGGGCCATGGTTGCAGCTGTTTGTCGGTGGTGAAGGTGGTGATGGTGATGGTGGTGGTGATTGGTGACTGATCGTGGGTCGAGAGGGGCAGAAAGGGCGATGCTGAACTAGAGGGAGAGAGAGAGCGGGCGCGCGCGAGAAAAGACTGTGGCCGAGGAGCGGGGGAGGTTGGGAGGTCGGGGAGGGTGGTGTCCGGAGGAGTGCAGAGGGGGAGTGGTCGATGTCGAGGGCGTCCGGAATGGAGAGCAAGGCGGAGCGGTTGCTTTTGAGGCCGGAGCGCGGTATGCGTGCCAGATCGAGGCTCGCGGCCAACACACACGCACGTCTGTCTGTTTGCTCCGCTACGGCCAGTTGGGCTGCAGCCCTCGCACCAGGCACCATGGCCGCCCTGGGCATGCTACGAGCAGCGGCGACGTCGAGACACTACTGCCGCATCGTACACACCGTGAGGGCCTTGCGCATCGCAGCGGACGCTACGGGTGCGACGGCTGATGCTGCTCTGCCTCTCCTCCCTCATCTGGAAGGCCTTCACCGGGAGAACCCCCCCGAACTACTACCATAGTCAGGCAAGCAAACAATGCGCTCGTCAAGGCCCCTCTGGCCGAAGGATTGGATCTAGGTACGGTTTGCGGCTCCACCGATGATGCAGAGGCGAGCGTGTACGGTGGATGGTGGCGGCGGCGGCGGCGGCGGCAACGGCCGGACGCCGGCCCACAGGGCTCACAATGGTGGTACATCATTCATGGGCGGCGCTACCTACGACCATCAGGCGAGAGGAAGCCTTCTGGTCTCGGTCAAGTGCAGCCGACCACGTACATACATACATACGGGTACATGGTGACGATGGAGCTCAAAGAGGTGCCTACCCGCGAGACTCGTTACTCTCCAGGGGGAGGAGGGGGCGGAGGTGTCGAAGGGGCGTTCGGAGTCGAGAAAGGCTAGGGGTCCACGAGCAGCAGACGCCTTGCTTGTGCCGGGGGCACCGTCGTGGCGCCGCCTGCGATGCCGCCGCAGGCCTGCTGGGCCGTCATCTGCAAGACTCGAGGGGGCGTGCCACCGAAATAGACGGCGGCAGCTCGCCAACGCACGCACACACGCACGCACGAGCAAGGCCGAATTGAGAGGCCGATATGGCACCGGTAGCTCAGGGGCTGGAGTCGAAGAGAGAGGGTCACTCGTCAGAAGACGCGAGAGCTTGCTTGTGGCACTGGGCAGGGTGGCCTGCCTGCCTGCCTGCCAGGGCCTGCACCGCTGAAATGAGTTGGGCAACGGGTCGCGGGGCCCAGGCGGCAAAGAGCGGCGCCATGCAAGTCGATCCGCTTGACAGACGCGCAGTCCCGCCTCGGACAGGTGGCAGGCAGGCAAGCCGAGCGGCGCGGCGGCGAGAGAAGGGGCGGGAGCTCAGGCAGGGGCACGAGGGGGCAAGAGGCAGGCAGGCAGTACCGCGCTTCAACCTTCCCAGCCTCGGCCAAGGCCCGGTGGCCCTGCCCTCGGTGCGGCACGCGACCGACATCAAAACGTCTGCCTGCCTGCTGGTCTCCCCCGAATGGCACGCATCGCATCGCAGAGCAAGCCAAGCCAAGCCACCCTCGGTCTTCGACCCGCACACAAAGAAGGAGGAGTGCTCGTGCTCACGCTGACCCTCGGCCGTTCCGCCTCGGAGCCAGCTGTACGGAGAAGCAAGGTAGTGTGGCGCCGCCCTCGTCTTTTGCAAGGGGACGCGGAGGCCCCGCACCCTCCTCCTGCCCCTGGCCTCCCGAACCATCTCCTTGCCACCCATCGAAGAAGCGGCGAGATCATGGTCCGCACTCAGCCCTTCCGGAGCTCCTGGGGGATATGGTCCTTCCATCTGGACTCTCAAGGTTGGCGATGCGGCGATTGCAAGGGAGGCGAGGAGCATGCACGCACGTCAGGCGAGAATTGGTCGACGAACAGACGGACCGACACAAGGATGGATGCTTCGGGTCGGCTCATGACACGGCGCGATGACCATCTCGGCAGCTGGACTTGCACGGCGGGCGGCAGACGAAGGCCGAGTGCAGCGACGTTAGTGCGGGGCCACGAATAGGTAGCATCGCATCGCATCGCATCGCATCGCATCGCATCGCATCATACCGTCGTCGGCCATCCGATGCCGGCGTTCAAGCGCCTGCCCGCGTACTGTATGTATGTACGTGCGTGCATCTGCGTTCCGAGCAAGCCGAACCTAGACGACCGGCACCGGTACCGTACCGTACCATGCGGTTCGGCGAGTACGACGACATCAGGCCGCATCCAAAAGTCACCGAAGGACCGTACGGACGGGTGCTGTGACTGGACATCGCGAGGATCGAAGATCCGATGCGGGCACCACCTCTAACAGTATCCGAACCGATCCTCGAGATCGCGTCAGGAAACGATACGATACGATACGAATCGCCAGGGACCGTCCAGGGCGAGCGGAGATGCGGCAGGAAGCTCGTGCATACGTGGGCGTGCAAGATGGGGATCGTTGGCGTGCAGTGACGACTCAAACACATGGCGGTGAGAGAGAGCAGATCGACGAGCGAGCAGATCGACGAGCGAGCAGATCGACGAGCGAGCAGATCGACCTACCACGTCGGTCGGCGGATCCCTGACCTATCCTACCCTTTCCTGCCCTACCAGTTCCTGTCCTCAGCGGTCCTCAAGGAGAGGCGCGGAGGTTGACGATATGAGGATCCATGCCTACCAACTGTACCTCTCCTGCCCGGGTTCTGAAGTTAGGAACAGAGGGTGATGCTTGCTGGCTAGCTGGACATGCCTGCCAAGGAGATTGGGGGCCGAGGGGGGGCGAACGACCAAAGGCGCGCGTCGACCGAGCGCCGAGGCATGTCTCGCGCAGCCCCGCGTCCTCGCAGGTCGAGTACCAACACCGCCGCCTGGCGCAGCTGTCGTCGTCGTCGTCGGCGCAAGCTTGCTTTCGGATCCGCTTCGTCTCGACTTTCGACGACAAACCAGGTCCCTCCTCACCCCCAACCCGACGGCATCGGCCCCCGCCCCCTGCTTCGGGTCCGACTACGTCGCAGATGGACTCGCCGTAGCTCCTGCTCCGCTTGAGTCTATCGACGATGCACTAACGGTTTGGCGGTGGTGTAGGTATCGACGTCCAGCCCGGCGGAGAGGCCAGGCGGGACGGCGTACGCGCCCGCAATTACCTCGCCTTTTCCCACCGCTTGTTCGTCGCGCGTCAAGGTGTACATCGAGCGGTACCGGTACCACGACCGACCGACCGAGCGACTGCAAGCGTTGTCCGCCGGCGCGGCGTCGTTCGGTGCAAGCGACAAACAGGCGAAAGCACAGACAAGCACACATGCGGAAAAGGCAGAGTATTGCCCTGGCCGGAGGGCGCGGGCCCGATTGGCAGCATTCGCCTCACCTCTCGACCTCTCCCTTTTTGCGCACGATCCACACCCGCTCGCGCACCGTGGCGCTCGAGCTGGGGATGTCGACGAAAAAGTGCTTGTACTGCAGCACGCCGTTGTCGTCCTGTGCAGGCGGTCATACGGGTGGAAGGGCAAGAGGCAGACATTGTCAGCCTCCTTCGGTCCGGGCGAAACAGCCGTGTCGACAAGCGCGTGCGACACCGCGCCGCGCTGCGTCGTCGCCGGGACGCACCTTTTCCATCTCTGCGTGCACCTCGCCCGACGACCAGGTGCCCGGCTCTCTTCTGCTTGACGTCAGCTTGCCTAGCGCGTCGCTGCCACCGCGGGCGAGTCCAGTGAGGCCGCCGAAGCTGTAGTTCCACGCGCTGGACAGTGCGGACCCGATGGCCGAAGGTTCGGAACTGGCCGGCTTGGAGGCCGCCGTCGTCGCTGAAGGGTCAAGCCCGGCGGCGTGGTGAGACCCGGTGGCTGCCTCGTCGGCATCGTCAAAGAGGCCGAGCTGATCGCCGACCCACTCGCCGCCTTCCTGCACCTTTCTGCCGGCCCACTTGCCCGCCTCGATGACGTGGTACCTGGTCGTGTCCCACAGGGTGAGGTCCCTGTCCTTGTCCCTGGCCTCGACAAAGAAGCGCAGCAGCATCTTTTCCTGGCCGGTGGTCTGGTCGACGTACGAGTAGGACGCCACCGAGCGCGACCTGCGGCCTCGGGCGGGCGGGTTGAGCGGCGAGGGCGATGCGGTCGTGGTGAAGGCGGACGAGGTGTGGAAGCGGTAGGGCGGGAGGAGATGCTGGGCGATCTCTGGGCTGGTCTGTACGCGCTTGCAGGCGTCGCCGAAGACGACCGTGGGGCTGTTTTTGGCAAAGAGCTCGGTCGAGAGGGCATAGACGAGGACAAAGGTGAGGGCGGCGCCGCCAAAGATGAGGACGGTCCTGGATGACTGGACAGTGGCCCGGGCGACCTTTTGACCGCCCTTGAGGTCCTTCCAGCGCTTTCCCGAGCCGGTCCAGCGGTCAATGAGGCCGCCTTGGCTGCCTGCGCCTACGGAGAGGCCGGCCATGCCGAGAGGCATCGCACCGCCGCGTCCTCCCGCCGCTGCGTTGAGTGCCGCCTCTGCGGTTGCGTTGAATCTGGGCGCTTCCTGGGCATGGGAGAGGGACGAGGAGTCGCCGCTGGAAGTTGGGTTCGAGTTGCCGCCACGGAGGCCGTCGAGGATCTGCCGCTGTTCGAATGCGGCCTTGGAGGATTTTGTGTTGACGACGCGTGCAAAGGGCTTGCGCGAAGGCCCGGGAGCGGATTGCTGTGCGATGCGGCGGGACGAGTGGAGCTGTCTGGCGAGGGGCAAGCGGGTGCGTGGCAGGACGAGGCGCAAATCGGCGGCGAGGGCCAGGTGTATTGTTCTTGCCGATGTGGTGGTGGCTGCGGCGTGGATCATGATGGGATGCCGTGCGAGGCTGACGACGATGCGGGCCGCTGCAAAGGGGGCAAAGGGCGGAGATGGTGGTTGAAGTGGTGGCCTGCCCGGCTGGCTGGCTGTGGAGCAAGTCGAAGAGGGCAGTTGGGCCAAGAAAAGAGAGGCGGCACCGAAGAACAGCGCAGCGTGCAGAGGTCACGATGCAGTCAGGCCCGTGCGCTGGGCACTGCAGGCGGGGCAACCTCCACCCGCAACGCGAGGTCCTTTTTTGGCCACAGCTCCTGCTCGGCCTGCTCGGCCAGCCTCGCCCGCCCGCTCTCCCTTTGCTGCTTGCTGACAACGAGGCGCCCTCGATGGCACACGCTGCCCTTGCCCTGCCTGGCCTGGCTGCCTCCGACTCAGCCTCCTCTCGGCAGCATACCACCACCACCACCACCACCACCACCACCACCTTCGTCACCACCTCCATCACCACGCCAGCCACACCGCCAACATCAATCCCCTCGCAGCAGTCATCCACCCCAACGCCTGCAGCCCATCCCGTTTACCGCTCTCGCCCACCGTCCACCCCCTCCCCGTCGCACGCCATGGTGTCCTACACTGAACTGGCGACCAAGAACAAGTCGGTCGACTGCTCAGAACAGCGCGCCCTTGTCTCGGGCGGCACTCAGGGCATCGGCGCAGGGTGAGTTCCATGCCGTGCCCTCTTCCGCCGCACCCATCCTCCTCTTCCCTGCCCTCGTCCTGACCCGTCACGCCAACCTCCGTCGCCGACCGCCGTACAGCATCGCCCTCCGATTCGCACTCTCGGGCGCATCCGTCTGGCTCGTCGGCCGCAACGCCGAAAAGGCCTCCCAGGTCATCGAGCAGCTCGACAAGGCTTCCGCAGAGGCGCAGCGTCGCCGCACCATCAACTCGTCGCCTTCTTCCTCCAAACCCTCGGACGACGCGGGCAGCAAGCACGCCTTCTTCCAAGCAGACCTCTCGACCACGTCCGGCATCAAGGACGTGGCGGACAAGATCAGCCAAAAGGCGGGCAAGGGCGGCATCGACTACCTCATCGAGACCCAGGGCGGCCCGCCCAACCCGTCCATCAAAAAGACGAGCGAGGGCATCGAGTCGCAGTTTGCCGTCCAGTGCGTCTCGCGCTTTGGCCTGGCAAAGCTCCTCACCGAGCAGGGCATCGTCAAGCGCGCCGTCCTCATGGTCGCATCGCCCGCACAGGGCGGCAGCAAAAAGTGGGACCTCGACGACATCGACTTTGTAAAAGCAAAGGAGAGCGGCTCCTACTGGGGCGGGCCCTTTGGCATCCTCAAAAAGGGCATGAGGGACTCGGCCATCCTCGACAGCGTCGCACAGGTGAGCAGGGGGCCGCGACCCCCCAGCACGGCCCGCGGTCCGCTTCTTGTCGCCGTCGTCGATCCATTCTCACACACGACGTCGTCTCCATCCTCTCTGTCACACTTGCTGCCCGCCCGACCTTGCTCTCGACAGACGCTGGCCGAGCGCAACCCCAACATGACAATCTCGCACTGCTTCCCCGGCTTCATCGCGACCGACGCATCGGCCAACCAGGGCTTCCCCACGCCGCTCGTGTGGGCATCCAAGCTCGTCGCGCCGCTGCTGGCCCATAAACCTGGTCCCGGCGGCTACGCCGAGCTGCCCTTCTACCTCCTCGCCAATCCAGACGGACAGCGGTACCTCGAGACGGGCCAGGCCAATCTCATCGGTCCCAAGCTGAAAAAGTACTCGATCACCTCGTCGGTCCAGGACGGGGCGGAGCGGCAGAGGATCTGGGAGAAAATGTCGTCCTACTTTGCTTAACTTGCCCCGCCTCCGCCTCGCGGGCAAGCGATGGTGGGGGAAGCAGAGGAGATGGGGGATGGAGATGCACGTGGAGCATGGATTGCCATCGTTGACACTACTAGTACAACCGCCCTCGAGGGTGAGCGGAAACCGACAGGGTTGCAGGGGGCCAAGGACGAGTCGACGTGCAGCCAAATCCGAGTCGAGTCGAGCTGAGGGAAAGAGAGGAGCGGACTTGCAGAGCGGAAATGCCGAAATAATTCACCGAGCGACATGCGGTGCGGGCGGCGGCACCCGCTTCGAATCGACAGATGACCGCGCCGTGCCCAGCAGGGTATCATTGCGGACGGGGCCAGATGGCGCACGGATCCATCATAGCGCGAGCGGTGCGGGGACGATCTGAGGCGGGAGGCAAAGGCCGTCGGGCAGCCAAGACCGCACACGCGGTGGTAGGGCGGACACTGCTGCCGAAACCATCGTCGAAAGTCGAAAAGACGACACGACGATCCTTGCACTGCACTAGACAGCTGCGCCCGTCGCCGCCGTCGCCTTGGCATCACCGACAATCTTGCCGTTGGCCATCGTCTCGAGCTGCACGACGAGGCGGTCAAAGTCCTCCTGCATCTGCTCGTCCTCGATGACGTTGCCAAAGATGCGCATCTCGCGGATCTTTTCAATCATTTGCTGCGCCGCCGTCATCGTCGCGACAAGAGGAGGAGTGGGACGAGCCAGGGTGGGAGGAGCGCGGAAGGAGGTCGGTGCGCGAGTCAGGGTCAGTCTCGTCTCCGTCGGCTTGGGGGCACCGCGCGCATCGGGCGAAACGACGTCCGCACGGTCCGCTGCGTCACTCCCTGCCGCGACGCCACACTCGTTCGGCAACTCACGTCTCTCCACATGGCCGTATACCGCGACTTGGGTCCGTCGGGCAGCGAAGGCCTGCCTCGCTTTCGCTTGACGGGCGGGGCGGCCTCGCCTCCTTCACCTCCAGCGGCTGGAACGCCCGCGGTCGGCGCAGCGTCACTCGCAGCAGGGTTACTGGGTGGGGCCGCAGCTGCAGCAGGAGCGACTGCTTGGGCCGCTGCCTTTTTGGGCCCTCGCTTCGCCGCCGGCGCGGGAGCGCTACCATCGGCGGGCTTGACCGTCCTCGGCCGGCCCCGGGGTCTCTTCTTGGGCGGCTCCTCTGCCGCTGCCGCTGCCGCCGCGGCAGCTGCCACTGCTTTTGCCTCTGCTGCTGCTGCCGCCGCCGCCGATTCTGCCTCTGCCTGCGCCTTTGCTGCTGCTGCTGCTGCCTCGGCTTCGGCTTCGGCCCGTTTCTCGGCCGCGCTCTTCCTGCCCCTCTTCTTGGGCACCTTGACCTCGGCGGGTGGCGCGACCGGGTGGCTTGGCGGCAGGAGGTACGTCTGCGAGGGGTCGATGTAGGCTGCCGTGTTTGCGGTGCCGTTGGCCTTGTTGCCCGCAGGGCCGTTGAGCACGTCGCTCATGCCCGCAGGGGCGGCCTGCGCGCTTGCCGCAGCCTCGGCCTTCTTCTTTCTAGGCGCCCGGGTGGCCTTTGCCGGCTTTGCCGGCGCTGCTGCAGGCTGCGGCGAAGCTTGGGCCTGCGGAGCTGCAGAGGGCGGGGCAGCCTTGTTTTCCGACACTGCAGCCGCGCTGGGACCCGGTGGGCCGGAGCTGTTGTAGAGGGCGGACCCAGACACGGTGCCGAGGCTCGAGTGCGACGTCACAGGATCCCGTAGAGTCGCCTGGTGCTGTTGTGCCTGTTGATGCTGCTGTTGTTGCTGATGGTGCTGCTGCTGCTGCGCGGATGCTGCGGCGGCATAGGGGTTCCAGGAGCTGGAGGTCTGCTCACTGGCATTGCCAGCGTATGTGCTTTGCGACGCCGATGTCGCTGCATACTGCTGATCGAAGGCTCTCGAGTATCTCTGCTGCTGCTGCTGTTGCTGTTGCTGTTGTTGCTGCTGCTGCTGCTGCTGCTGCTGCTGCTGCTGTTGGTGGTGATGGTGATGATACTGGGGCTGCTGATCGTCCGGCTGCGCGTGGGTGTGGGCGGTCTGGTGCAGCTGCGCAGGCGACTGCGGCTTCTCCCGCGACAGGGCCTGGACCTGGTGAGCAGCGACAGGGCTATAGCTGCCGTAGCCCTGGACGCGATGTGCGCCGAGCTGCGAGCCAAAGAGGATGTTCCGCTGATCGGCTTCCTGGGCACTGCTATGGGCCGATGGAGCGTCCGCGTATCCGCGTGACTGGTGCGAAGATGCTGAGGGCCCGAGGCCTTCGCTCAGGCTGCTTTGACTCGGCCCCTGGCCTTGCACACGGTGGCCGGGGTAGGTCTGGGAGTAGCCCTGGTAGGCGGAAGACGCAACGTCGCTGCGGTGCTGGAAGCTCGCAGGGTTGCCGCTGCTGGTGCTGGCGCTACCGGCATTCTCGCCGTAAGACGACGTGGATAAGACGGGCGCGTTGGAGACGGCGCTTGTGCTGGCGTGACCTGGATCCCATTGCGACGAGTTCGAGGCTCGATGCTGAAAGGAGTGGGGATAGGCGTTTCGGTTGAACATGGCGGCCACGGCGATCGCGCGATCGCGCGGAGACGGAGGACAGAGGCAGCTGAACGGTCCCACGCGGCGCCTCGCGAGCCTGAAAAGCCTCCTCTTGGCCTTGGATCTCGCTTCAGCGACACGGGCTGGAAAAGCGCGTGTTACTACTGCTGGCGAGTGAGACTAGAAGCTGGGCAGGATCTCAAGGCCGGACAGAGCACAGTGAGCTGCAGGAGATTGGTGCCGAGGCAGGAGCTTGAACGGCACCCTTGCGAGCAAGGGGGCTTCGAGTGTAGTCGAAAGGCAGGAAGGCAAAGGCGGGGATGAGAGAGGTCGCGACGGCAGTCGTGGTGGTGGGAAGAGGTGGCGCTGGGACATCAGAAGGGTATGCAGCATCGGGGGCAGCGGCAGGGGCCTGCCGGGATTCGGGCGTCGTGTCGCGTTCTTGGCCGGCAGCGAGACCTGAGCGTCAGCTTGGCAAGGACAGGCTAGGGCACTCTTCGGAGTCGGCTCCGAGGGATGCTGCTGGCCCGGCTGACGCAAAGACACGGAATCTTCCAGAGAGAGGCTGGCTGGCTCGCCCGGCCACCGGGGGGCGAAAGTGGAGCAGCCACCGATGGCCAGACGACTCTCTGACCTCCGGCCCCCGCCTTCAGCTCTTGAAGAGGCAGGAAGAATCGACAGGCCCGGAACAAGCAGCCTTTCACGCTTTCGCCTACTCCGCACATCCGCCTCCCCATCCCCCTCCTGCTTCATCCCTCTCACCTCTCCTTGCTATTGCTCTGCAACTCTGCTCTCAAGGTCCGGTGCATCGCATCCGCTGCCCTCCTTCTCCCATCGCTTCAGCCGACGGCCGCAGCATTATTCTGGATTCGACACTCCAAGTTGCCTAGCGGCGTCGCCGAGCAAACGTATCATCGACCCTTCCTACTGAATCGGCCTGGCTCCGATAGGCACGACCCGTTTTAGCCGTCACCGCAACGTACAGGCTCACTGCCCCCTGATCACGGACTAATTGGCAGCTCGACGACAATGCAGACGGCAACAGCAGCAGCAGCAGCAGCTCGCAGCGCCGCCGCCATCTTACCGGGCGGTGGATCGGCTGCTTCCGCCACTGCTAGGCTGGGTGGCAAGCCACGCGCCCCCTCCCTTGCTCGGTCCGAGCCCAGCTCCTCGCGAACCCTCGTCACTCTGCCTCGGTCCGCCCTGCGCCTCGGTCAGTGCCGCTCCTGCGGCAAGCTGCAGCCGCCGTCGCCGTCGTCGTCGGTGCGTGCCTTTTCCTCGACCCGCGCCCAGCTCGCCTCAGCCAAGGACCCCTACGCCACGCTCGGCGTCAAGAAGGATGCCGCCGCAAAGGACATCAAGCGCGCCTACTACGACCTCGCCAAAAAGTTCCATCCGGACACGAACAAGGAAAAGGGCGCCAAGGAGCGCTTCGTAGAGATCCAGAGCGCCTATGACATCCTCAGCGACGAAAAGAAGCGCGCCGCCTACGACCAGTACGGCACCACCGACGGCCAGCCCGGGTTCGACCCATTCGGCGGCGGTGGCTCCTCGCCCTTCGGAGCGGGCGGCTTCGGCGGCTTCCAGGACTTTGGCGGCTTCTCCAACGCCGGCAACGCGGGCTCCATCTTTGAGAGCCTATTTGGCGCCTTTGGAGGCCAGAGGGCCGGTCAGCGCGGGCCCGGCTTCGGAGGCGCCGGCTTCGCGGGAGAGGCCCGCGGCGACGACCTCGAGACGACCGTCAACATCACCTTTGAGGAGGCGTGCAAGGGGACAAAGCGCAAGGTCGTCATCAACCCCGTCGAGCGCTGCGGCACCTGCTCCGGCTCCGGCATGAAGGCTGGCGCCAAAAAGTCGACCTGCGCCACCTGCAACGGCACCGGAACCCGCACCTTTGTCATCCAGAGCGGCTTCCAGATGGCGACCACCTGCCCCAGCTGCGGCGGTGCCGGCACCACCGTGGCTCCCGGCGACGGATGCAAGAGCTGCGACGGCCTTGGCCGCGTCCGGGGTCGCAAGGAGGTCGAGATTGACCTCCCTGCCGGCGTCGACGACGGCTTCCGCATCCGCAAGGATGGCTTCGGCGATGTGCCGCTCTCGGGCGCCGGCGTCCCCGGATCGCTCTACGTGCGGATCAACGTGGCCCCGAGCAAGATCTGGCGGAGGCAGGGATCGACGCTCTTTTTCCCGGCCCAGATCCCGTTCCACACAGCCATCCTTGGCGGCAAGGTGCGCGTTCCCACCCTCGACGGACCGGTCGAGGTGCGCGTGCCTGCCGGCACCCAGGTCGGCGAGGAGATGATCCTGCAGGGCCGCGGCGTCGCCTCGCCCACCCGGAGGGGCCAGAAGGGCGACCTCATGGTCCAGTTTGACGTGTCGATGCCTCGGTGAGTACAGCGAAAGGGGGAGGCCTCTCGGTCGCGCAAGCGGGCTGTCGCTGATTCTTCCACCTTCCCCTTGTCTCTCGCTCGGCCCGTCGGCTCGATTTCCGCAGATCGTTGACGAAGCGACAGCGTGAGATTCTGCAGCAGTACGCCGACGAGGTCGAAGGACGTGCGCCAAAGCCCGCAGCGGCTGCGGCGGCGCCTGGGCAGAAGACGCAGGCAGAATCGTCGGCTCGACCTGCGCCCTCGACGTCGGCGTCGGCACCAAAGGCCGAGGCAGGAGCGGGCGCTGGCTCCACACCGCAGTCCAAGGCGACCAAAGGTAGGTACACCATCCATCCATCTTCTCGCAGCGACTATACCGGCAGCAACCCAGCACAAGAGGGCTCGCCGCGCAGCGCCCCGGCGTCGGGCCCCGGTCACACACCCGGCGCCACCGCGGGCCCTTCGCACGATCCGCCGTCGGCTTCCAATGCCGACAGGGGCTCGTCGGCCGCCCCTGAAGGCCAATCTCAAGACGACGGAGGGCTGCTGGGCAAGGCATGGAGCTGGCTGACGGGGAGGAAGTGAGGCGGACGGTGTCCAGCCGATGGTAGTAGGTTGGCCCGACCTCTCTCTACCCCTCTCTCTCATCTTCATGTCACAGCAGCCCGACCTGATGGCACTACAGCCACGCTCCCACCTCGAGTGTATCAATTAAAAGGACGGTCACTGACCGGGCGAATGGCATCACCTCTCCCTTCCTCTCTCCCGCGGGACCGGCATTCAATCCCTCCGTGATTTGTACAGGTCAAAAGACTGCGTCGCCGTCGCCGGCCGCCCCTTCGTCGGCCGAGGACAGCAAGAACGGAGGCAAGGACTCGTCCAAAGACTCGTCCAAGGACTCATCCAAGAGCGAGAGCAGCGGCGACGCGCCCAAGTCGAGCTAAACTCAGCACGAGGTTCCGGTTCCACAGCATCCTCTCATGTCTCTGTCGCGTTGCAACCATTGATAGAAGCTGCATTCGCATCCCTCTCCCCCGACTCGCTCTAGACGTGTCCCTGGCCTGCGCCATGCCCGGAGCCAGCTCTGGCCTGACTGCTGAGCGATCTGTGACGATGTCCGTGACTTGGCTGCCAGAACCACACGAGCCGCCGCGCGCCTGCAGGGTGATCGAAGCACCCGGGTGGCCGACCACGAGGCGGGTCGGAGCAGCGCCGGGCCTGGTTGGCTGGCGTGCGAAGAAATCCAACGCCCAGCCGCTCGCTGAGCCTTCCAGTCCCGAGATCCGGCTTCTGTCTCACTCTGCCGTCTTCTTGAGACCCGACCAGCAAGCGGCTCGAGAGAGCACGGTACCCTTCCGTCCTCCGACTCGGCCGCCTACTTCGAAGGCTTTGAGAGTCGAGTGCAGCCTCCGAGGATCCTGCTCACCAGCTGAGGCAGGTAGTTGGTTGGATTTGACAGCACGTCGACTTGCCCGTCGTGTGCCGAGTGGGTGACGAGACTGGCCGCCTTGCCGGGCGGGCGTGCCGCGCCGTTGCCAGCCAGAGGCTGCCCCGGCCTGAGCCTCTTTACCTGGGCAGGCGAAAAAGAGCCAGCCTGGTGGGCAGGCAGTCACGCAGGCCAGCCTGGGCCAGGCCAGGCGGAGCGCGAGGCAAATTGCCGGGGCCGGGCGAGAAAAGAAAAAAAGAGAGCGCAGAAGCAAAAGCTGGCTGGCTAGCCCTTGTCTGTCTGCGTGGGCGGGCCAGGCCAGGCGAGGCCAGGCTAGGGCAGGCGACAGAGGGCACAAGTCTGAGTGCGCGAGCGCGAGAGAGAGAGAGAGAGAGAGAGATGGGCGACGGACCGACCGGCCGTCCGCCCGTCCCATGGACCAACCAGACAAGCTCGCACGCACGCACGCACTCAGTCGACCTCGTCTTTCCACTACTCTCGCTCTTCCCGTCTGCCTCTCCATCGCTCATCTGCTCACCCTCATCGCCACCGCCTCGCTCGCACACACACTCTAAGACTGCCTTGCATCTCTGCATCAGCCACAGGCTTGCTCCAGTCCAAAGACACACACGCTCGCGCCCATCGCTCCGGCCCCGCAACCTGAACACGAACCCCTTCGTAGGATCGTCTACCTAATCCTGGCGAGAAACAGTCCGTCCCAGGCATACACCTCGTCGCCCTCGTGCAAAGCTCCGCAAATCTCTTTTCGTCGTCAACTCAACGATCGCCGCCCCGTCTGGCTATCCTACCACCTCTGTGGCAGCCACTCAGCCTCCCTCGCCCCAGACCGTCCAGTCGAGATCGCCCTCTTCGGACATCTCTCTTCCTCTCGCTCTCTGTCACTCTTCGCAAGTCTCCCCGTCCCGACCGCCCTAGCGAGCTCGAGCTTGTTGGTCGTGCCCTGCGCATCAGATCAAGCCGTCCTCGTCCAACTGCCTGCCGTCGACTTCAGTCTCGCAACGCCACACCGCTGCATCCTCCCTTTTGCTCGTTCTCGCACCGCTTCAGCACCGCCCGCCCCCTTCACAAACCGCACAAGATGGCTACCTCGATGCAATTCGGCCCCGAATGGATGCGCAAGGCTCCGGTCAAGAACAACTCGTCGAACAGCATCGGCAAGGACCCCTCGTCCCCCGCAGGTGCAGCTTCCTCTGGCCGCAGCGAGAACGGCGCGACCCCAACTGGTGGCCCCGCAGCGACGGGCAAGCGAAACGGAGCCATGGGTGGCGGCCTAGGCGCCGTCCTCAATGGCCCTACGCCGGTGACGAGCCCCACGGTCACCTCGCCCGGCGCCTTCTCCTTTGCTGCTGCAGCAGGAGGCGCCGCGTCGGCAGCGGCGGCGGGCTCCCATCAGCATCAGGCTTTCGGCGGCAGCTCGCAGGACGGGGATAGCGTCGCTTCGTCGGCCTTGTCCAACGGCGCGGCTTCGGCCAAAGATCGGCAGTCGCGCGAAAAGCTGCTGAGCCTGTACAGCACCGACCGGCCCGCCAAGCCTGCGCAGAGCGAGGCCAGTCCTCTCGAGGGCGGTGCGGGCACGGACAAAGCGGGTTCGGCCGGACGTAAAAAGGTGAGCATTTCCTCCACGGCCAACGACGGCGGCCCTTCCCTTCCCACCTCGCTGACCGCGACTGACATGCCGTCTTGTTGTTCGCCGTCCTTTTCGCCCCACCTGACGCTCGATCCCTTCAGACCGGCGCCGATCGGGAGCAGCGACGTCCCTCGAACTTTGCAGAGCTGGGCGCCGGGGCCGGTCCGTTGTCCCCCAGCTTGGGTGGCGAGCCTCGCGGAATCAATGCTCGCTCAACCTCTGGCGGATCCTCCGGCGGCTTTGGATCTGCGGGCACCTCGAACTGGGATCGGGCCGACAAAGAGAGGCCGGGCCTCTTTCAGCGTGCTTCGAGCAGTGCCCTCACCTCGACCGTCGCTGCTGGCCGCCCGCTTTCGCCATCCATACCGCGCGAGCGCTTCGGCGGCATCCAGGGCGGCGTGCTCTCGGGTGTCGGACCCCAGAGTCGGAAGAGAATGGACAGCGACAATGGCTCTACGGGTGAGTACTTCAGCAGTGGACAACCTGTCTCCTCTGGTGTCACGGCGTGCCGCTCTTCCAAGCCCTACTTACACGTCCCGTTACCCCATGCTGTCTGCATTCAGCCGGCTCTCGCGGAGGTGCTAAATCCGGGTCCGAGGATGTCACTTCGCCGTCGCAAGGCTCAGCACAGGCCAGTCGCGGCAGCGCTGGCTTCGCGGAAGCCTTCAGCTCCAACAAGGCCCGGGGCAAGGCTGGTGTCGGGGAGGGCACAGGCCAGGCGGTCCAAGAGCCCGAGGGCAACGAGGGTGGCGCACCTTCCGCCAGGTTCGGCCGCACCAGGGATCGACAACCCGGCGAAGGACCGATCGGGCCTCCGGCCGATGGCAGTGCCGGCTTCAACAAGTTCGCCGGTTACGACCGCAAGAGAGAACGGCAGGCCAGCCACTTCAAGGCCGGCACGGTCCCGGGCGACGCCGAGGCCAACGGGACGGGCCACGGCGACGCCGACGGACGCAACGAACAGCACGGACGCGCCGAACGTAGAGGATCTGCCGAGGATCACGGCAGGGGCGCCCTCTCTTCTACCAATGCCCACGACACGAGCATGGACTCAGACCTCGCGCAGCACGCTACCGCAGTCCTCGGCTCGCTCAAGCTGGACGAGGACGATCCATCGGCTCAGATGCTCCCGCCGAACCCGGAACAGCCGACCCCGCCGACTTGGTCTGCCGACACGGCCCTATGGCTGTACCGAGACCCGTCGGGCCAGGTGCAAGGTCCCTTCACGGCCGTCGTCATGCAGGACTGGTACCGCCAGAGCTACTTCTCCGACGATCTCCTGGTCCGTAGGCAGGAGGATGACGAATTCCGCCCACTGGTGCAGGTCATCGCAGCCATCGGCAACGCGCTCCAGCCTTTCCTGGTCCCACCGCACAGCTGGCTGCAGCCTCCCGACGCCTTCAAGAACGCGCAAGGCCAACCGGACACCCGGAGGAGCTCGCTCGTCAGCCCTCCTGGCAGCGGCGACGATGCCGCCTCCGACAGCCGGATCGACCAAGACCACGATGCTTCCCGCTTCGCTGTCTCCGGCCAGGTGGACTCGCTGGGCGGCGGCGGCGGCGGCGGCGCTGGCTGGAACGGTGCGTCGCAGAACCAGCAGCAGTGGCCTTCACAGCTCAACCTGGGCTTTGGCACGACGACTCCGCAGCCGATGTCGCCGTTTGGGCGACCGGACATGTTTGCAGGCCAGGGTGCCGGCCTCGACAACCGCTTCCGGACCCAGGAAGAGCTCGTCGCCTTGATCCGAGAGCGCGAGCTGCAGGAGCAGAGGCAGGCCGCCGCCGCCGCTGCTGCTCGCGGTCAGAACCTTGGGTACGGACAGCTGGACCCCTTCATGGGAGTCCTTGGCCGTGGCGGCTGGGATGCTCCGGGCGCAGCCAGCTGGGCCCCGCACGGAGGGCTGCCGTCTTTCGATCCCGCCTTTACCGGCCACCCGAGCCCCCTGATGGCCGAGCGCCAGGCGTTCGAGGCCTTCCACCAGCGAGGCGGCGCTGGTCCCGACCAAGGCGGAGCGTGGGCCAAGGGGCCCTCGACGCCGCGCTCCCACTTTGACCAGCCGAATCCGTTCAACAACCGGCCCGGCCAGTGGGACGCCCAGGGCGCCTGGAGCAGCCAGGGCAACATGACGCCCGAGGCCTTGAACCGCCAGGCGCACGACTTTCAGGAGGGAGGCTTTCGTCACGAAAGCGCCAAGCCATTCAGCGACCCCATCGGCACTCCGCGACGCGCACGGTCACCTGCGGCGCCCAGCCCGGCCCTCGAGCAAAAGTCCGATGCATTTGAAGACAGGCGCGAAGAGTCTGCTACGACCACGGCCGTAGAGCCAATCCCGGAGGCCGATGGGCTTCGCGATAGTGCGCAAGCTCAAGCCGCCACCCCCAAGGAAGTAGAAGCCCAGGCGCAAGAGGAGGCACACCCCGCAAAGGAGCCCGAGGTCAAGGCAACCGAGCCGAAGTCCGCCGAGCCGCCAAAGGCTGAGGTCGAGGCTGCACCGGCCCCCACGGCAGTGGAGGAGCCGGGTCCGGAGCAGCTGTGGCCTCAGAGCCCTTCGGCTGTCGAATTCGCCTCCGAGCCGGACCTCTCGTCGATGCCCGGGCTTACCCTCCCCAGCAAGGCTCCCACTTCAGTCGCCGCTACCACCGATGCGCGCCGCACAGCCAACCGTTCCGACACCAAGGGCGAGGCTGCAAAGCGGCCCACTACCCGTCAGCAGCAGGCGGCGGCGGCGGCGGCGACAGCCACGTCCGGCAACGTCCGGGTCGTCTCCCAGGAGCAGTTCCGCCGTGCCCCGGAGGAGGAGAGCGCCAGTCTCAATCAGGTGCCGCTCTCTGCATGGCTGCCGGATGCGGCCGGCGAATCGTCGACGCCGACGTCGAAGCCCGCCCCATGGGCCTCGCGTGACGACGCCTCCTCGTCGGGCACTCCCGGACCCAGTCTGCGCGAAATCCAAGAGGCCGAGGCCAAGCGGGCCGAGGCCCGGAAGGCTGCCGAGCGGGCGGCCGCCGCCCAGCGTGCCAAGGCTGCCGCGAGCGCCGCCGCTGCCTCTGGCAACATCGACTTGCCCACGAGCATG